TTTACTAGTTGCTTTCAGATGAACTGAAATAAATGTCTACAAAATTATTTTTGAAAAGGAAGGTTGAGGAGCTCATTCGTAGGAAGCTTGCAAAGGAGGCCGTTTTTTTAAATTAGTTTTCAACATTTTTTTTTAGAGTATATTGGTTTAGGATTTTAAAATATTTTTTTAAGTAAAAAAAAGTTCGCTAGTATTTAATTAAGATTTTATGTCACTTAAAAACAATCTAGTGATATTTAATTTAGATTTTCAAGATTTTTTAAAGAGCTCATTAAAATATATTAATATTCATTTGAGACTTTTTACAACTTAAAAATAATCAATTGGTATTAAAAAATGTAAGGATTTTAAAAAATTGTTGTATTAGGGAGATTTTGAAAGATTTTTTAGTGATATCTATAAATATCAAATTCATAAAACAATCTCATCTAAACTCATCAGATTTTGGAAGATTGTTTAAAGTGACTTTTCAAGTGCTCTAAGAATTTTCAAAGAGTTTTTCATCTCTTATTTTTCTATACTCCTATCTTCACTAGTGTTCATATATAATACTATACTACTATTTCTATTTTATTCTCCTATTTGGTGAAATTCTAGTACGTAAATGACACTGTCATTGATTTGCTATATTTTTTTTCTCTATTCTCTTTAATTGAGTTGTTCTATTTAGTTGAATTTGTTCCTTAGATATATAACACATAAAACCTTTGAATTTCAACCTTTTAGTAGTAAATTTTTTTATAACACACATCAAGAAAAAGGAAAGGTGACAGTTGAAATTGATATTATACACAAAACATATATATTTTAGAAAAATATATATATATATATATATATATATATATATAAGATGAATTTGAGTTAGGATTCTTGAATAGAATGAGATGAGAATGAGTCTTAGTTACAGGAAGAATCCTCTCAACACAAAATCAATAGCATTTCTTAATATACAAATCAACAACCTCGCGAATCATAATCCAAAATGGAAGACCAACAACATTAAGCAAAATTGATAAGGATAATGAAAATATAAAAAATCACTAATTCATAATCAAAACTACAAGCACACAAAATGATATCAATGTTTTCATATAAGTAAAGATAGATGTTCGACGAGCTATATAAGTGTATAAAACAAACAAATAAATAAAACACATAAACATACACATGCACAGAGGTTGGAGTATGGATGCTTAAGTGTATTTATATTCACTTGATGATCTTGTGGAAACATATTGGACAATCAAGTTAAACTATACTTAGCTTATTTTATAATGTGTTTAGGGAGATGGTTTAATAGAGAACGAAGAAAATAGGGAAGGATTATCAAGGAATTAAAAAAAATGTGTTTAGAGAAGATCATTTAAGTGAATTTGTAAGAAAATTGTGGTAGACCCATGTAGATTTAATTTCATTACTTTATCAATAGATTTGTGTGAAATTTTTAACAAAATAGATATTTGGATAAGACTACCTTACATTATTGTCTAAATAGTTAATTAGTAAAGGGTAAAAATGTAATTGTCTAAATAATATATTTTAAATAAAAATCTATCTATATAAAATATAATTTTAAAACAACTACAAATTTCATACATATTTCATATCAAATCAATTCTCACATATTCTCATCCATTCCCTTCAATTCTTCTCCCTCCCCTAAATAAAGCATTAGTGTCTCAACAATACTTTAACCAATTTTAATCTTTTCATTTTTCATGAAATTTATTTTTAGTCTTACAATAATATTATGATTGGTTTTAACCTGTCAATTATTTTTTGTTATTATTTTTAGTCTCTCCTATCAAGCATCATCGTTAAGTGATGATGTGATAACTGTTGTAAAAAATGAGTTTAAAAATTTGAAAGGAAAAAAAAGAGAGAAAGAAGGTGATGTATTAAGCAAAATCAACAACATTTCTTAATATACAAATCAACAACCTAGTGAATCATAATCCAAAATAGAAGATCAACCACATTAAGCAAAATTGATAAGGATAATGAAAATAAAAAATCATTGAATTCATAATCAAAACTACAAGCACACAAAATATCAATGTTTTCATATAAGTAAAGATTCTTATTAAGACATCAATCATACCTAGGATTTAGGAATGAGTCAATTAATAGTTGTGATAAAAACATGGTAATTCTAAATATCTAGATTTCTTATTTCCCAATATCTTGTTTCCTTTCATGATGTTTATGTACCTAAGTAACCTAACTCCTGTAGAAGGATGGATTAACCAAATTCTCAGCTTAATACTTGGACTGTACAGTCATTGTGGTTGTTTTAAATTGCTGTTGAGGCTGGACTCTTAAACTTTTCTTACATCTTGTTGTTCTACTTTCTGCTGTAATTATTCTAATAATTACTTCATCACATCTTAATATTTTTGTTGTTAGATAATCATTTTGTGTTTTACTATGTTCAGATTGATAGGAAGAATCTTACTGATTTAAAGGTCTATGCCATTGATGTTGATGAGGCTGATGAGGTGAACCATCAATCCTTTTTATTTTTGATTTGCTTGAGATTCTTTCAAGTGTTATTCCATTTATTTTAGGAAGCCTATTATTTTATTAACTGATGATCTATAATATGTAGCTTGATGATGCTTTGAGTGCAACAAAGTTGCAAGATGGCCGGATTAAAGTGTGGATACATGTCGCAGACCCAACTAGATATGTTCAACCTGGAAGTATTGTGGACAGGTATCTGGCTGAGATTCAAAGAGATATTTAATTGAATATTTGGTTGTGTTCCTCTATAATGTACTTCATGACATGCAGGGAGGCTATGAGAAGAGGAACTTCTGTTTTCTTGCCCACTGCTACGTATTCTATGTTTCCAGAAAATCTTGCCATGGGGGGCATGAGTTTGAGACAAGGAGAGCTTTGTAATGCTGTTACTGTATCAGTTGTGCTGCATAATGATGGCAGGTAAATTTAAATGCACTGGTTGCTTTGTGTGGTAGAAATTCACCTGATTTACTAGTAGAACATCACATTGTACGAAGTGAGATAATCTGTTAGGAGGTGTCCTGAAGTATGAAATGGGGCTAGGAGTTCTTGGAGGTAATAATAGAGCTCTATATTTGTTGAGTTAGAGGAGTAAGGGTGTTGTTGAAGCATATAATAGGGTAGGGGATGGTCAGAACACGAATGACTAGCAAAACCTCTATATTTTGTTCTTTTTGTTTATGTGAATGTGCTATGATGGATAACCCATTGTAAAATTGAATTTGTTCCTCAACGTTTATTTTTCATAGCTAAGTTGAATTCCAGTACTGGCCTACTAGGTAAATGTACATGTACTTTGTTCATGTTTCAAGCCTAAAGGCTCTTGCATTAGGGCTATGTTAAAGATACAAAACCAGTAAACTATGCTCACCTAACAGCTTAAGTCTTGATGTTTTTTTAACTTTGTTCTCATGTCCTGGATTGTTAATTTCCTATTCAACCCGTGCTTTTTCTATCAATGAATTCTTTTGTCCTTCTGTAACTGATGTCCTGTGTGGGTGTAACAGCATTGCAGAATATTCAGTGTTTAACTCAGTGATTAAACCAACATACATGTTGACATATGAGAGTGCATCTGAACTACTCCATTTGAACCTTCAGGAGGAGGGTGAACTTAGAATTTTATCTGAGGCTGCAAACCTTCGATCAAATTGGCGCCGTCAGCAGGTAGGTTTTAGTTTGTTCTTTTGAGTCAGGTATAAAAAATTTTCTAGGTATTTTGGTTTTTTCTTTCTTCCTTCTAATAAAACCTAATGCCCGGGTCACATCTTATGTCACATATTGTGCTATATTTGAAAAATCACATCGTATATTTGAGGAAGGTTTTCCACATAACATCATCAATGATGCATGAGTTATGACTTTGCAGTTTTCTAAACTGCCTAAATAAAACATGACCTGAGATCTGTTAGTTAAATTATCCAACAATATTTATATTTTGTCCAGGATCTTTGGTGTATCCCATGGAACCTAGTGTTAAATTGTCCGACAGCAGTTTTTGTTGTTTGTTCTGGAGCTTTGCTCCATCTCACATAATTTAAAAGTTCATTGCTCTCTGATAAGTGATGCAAACTTGCTTTAGTGTTTTATATTTTGTTATTTAACAAAGCACCCACAAACATTATAAAATTATATCATACTTAGATGGATGTCATATTTTACCTGTCTTTATGGTGTAGTCTATATTGATTTTAATTCGATAATAGGTTTATCTTAATGCTAGGATGGATAATTTGGCATAGTGATTGAAACACATTCTTGTGAATTGATAAAGATGTGGAATTACCTATATATATATATATATATATATATATTAAACAAATTATTGGGAATTTATAGCCTCTAATATGTAAACATTTCCTTTCCCTGCATTTGTTCAGGGTGCAATTGAGACAGCAACATTAGATACCCGCTTTAAAGTGTCCAATCCAGAGGATCCAGAGCCATCGATAAAGCTTTATGTGGAAAACCAGGCAGACCCTGCTATGCGATTAGTCTCTGAGATGATGATACTATGTGGTGAAGCTATTGCCACATTCGGGTCTCGGAATGACATTCCTTTACCATACAGGGGACAGCCCCAATCAGATATGAATGTTTCTGAATTTTCCCATCTTCCAGAAGGACCCGTTAGGAGCTTTGCACTGGTAAGAATAATGCGTGCTGCGGAAATTGATTTCAGGAAGCCTGCACGCCATGGTGTTTTGGGGATTCCTGGCTACGTTCAGTTTACATCTCCCATCCGTAGATATTTGGATCTTCTTGCTCATTATCAGGTAAGTTGCTTTCAATTTTATAATTCACTGTATAATAGACTGCAGGCCTCGATGCTTCTTGGTGCTTGCGTTGAAATTTTTATTTTTAAAATCAGCAAGAATCAGGAAAATGAAACTAAATGGAAATATATCATGATACATGTTCCCTTCACCGAGGGACAGGATGCAGACTGTGCAACACTGTAGCCATTGGATTTTCTACCTGTGTTTGGAAGAATAGAGATATTTACACAAGATTTCACCAAAGTATAAACTTCTTTTAAGGGACCTAATATACTAATTAGGTAATGATTACATCTAAAGTCCTTTCTGGATTAATAAAAATACTGCATGTGAAATCAAGGAAGCTAATTTTCTTTTTGTCAGTGTGCAATTTCTCTAAGAGTTATGGTATGTATTTGGTTAGTCAAATGCCCATGTCATATTTAAGGATGCCTATTTACCTGTAGTGTTTTGAGATGATTATGACTTCTTTTGGGTGCATTTTTTGTTATCTCTGTTTCTGTTTTTCTTATATTTTGCTTCTCTCCTTTTTTGAGGATTCTTTCCCTTCCCTCTATTGTACTTCGTTTCTTTTCTTTTGATCTTTCTACTCCGTATGAGGGCGCCTCCATTCCATAGTCATAATCATAGCTCTTGTAATTCTCACTTCTTTGTTGCTCTATGTATATTTTTATTGTGTTGCAAGTGATCATCAACATGAGGATGTTGGTGATGAGGTTTAAGTCTCGTCGTGGGGTGTTCTTTAATAGGACATGTGACATCGGGACTTAGTTAGGATTAGCATAAGAGTTTCATTACTGTTATTGAGTTTTGGAAAGACTAAAGTTTTATTTTGTCATCATTTTCACATTGGAACCTTGTTTCAATTAAAAAAGTTTTATTTACTCAGAAAATGTACTTTATATTTATTGTGTAATATATATGTGGGGTAAAGGGTGTCATAGGTCACCTTGACATAATCCTCTAGTTGGAGAAAAAGAATCCAATACTTCATACAAATCAACAACCTAGTGAATCATAATCCAAAATAGAAGATCAACCACATTAAGCAAAATTGATAAGGATAATGAAAATAAAAAATCATTGAATTCATAATCAAAACTACAAGCACACAAAATATCAATGTTTTCATATAAGTAAAGATAGACGTTGGATGAGTTGTATAAATGTATACAACAAACAAATAAATAAAACACACAAAGATACACACACGCATGGTGGTTGGAGTATAGATGCTTGAGTGTATTTATATTCACTTAATGATCTTCTGAAAACATATTAGACAATCAAGTTAAACTAGACTTAGCTTATTTCATATTTTACAAGACTTTTTATCATAAAGTTTTAATGTCTTTATTATCATCAAAATACTTAGTGGAGATTTAGACATTTATCTTTGATTAATATGCAATCGATCAAACACTACTTGAAAACGGCTATTCTGCTCAGAAATGAAATAGTCCAAATATTCTTAGAAATTATTGCTCCTATTTTGGTTCCAACAAAATGTATTGTTTGTTTATATGTATAACTAAGGTTGGATGCATAAATAGGTGATTTACAACAAAATGTACAAGGGTACTGGGACAATTACACCTAAAAGATTATTTTTATAATTTCTTTTTTGCCCTAATAGAAAAATAGGTGTTTCCTTAAGAATTTTTTTTAAATGAATGTAGAAAGTTATAAGAGATAAAAGATATAATAAATTGGTTTTAATTTTACCACTTGATGAAACTAGTGGAGGAGAGACTTGATGCTTCTCTTTAGCTAGCTCCATTGATACTTCAATCTTCATCCATAAATCCTTAAGCTTAAAAGCAAGCTCAAAAATGGTGGAGAGACAAGAGAGAATGGCACGCCTCTTCAAGGTGATAAGCAAGATAAGAAGTGATAAAAAAGAATGGCTCAATCCAACAAGGGGGTGAATTGGATTTAATGACACTTAAAAAATTTATCAGAGTTTAAGGACCTTAATTTCTTTAAAACTCTTCTAAAAATAATTTCCAATGAAGTATATTGAACCTCTTAGTATATGGGAATGACTCCTATATAATTTCTTGATTAATCTTTATTAAATTAGCTTAAAGAACAATTAATAACATATTAATCAAGACCATTTATTTTAACATTCAAATAAAGATTGTTTAATGTAAGAGATAAGGATGAGAGAAGAGTGCAAAGTATTTTATCCTGGTTCAGCCACTCAATATGTGACCTACATATCCAGTCCTCAATTATAACCTAATCAAGATTTGTTCCACTCTCAATGAAGAAGTTTTACAAGCATACCACACATGCACACACTTCAACATACAAGATATATCCTTTCTTGCACCTAAGAAAACACTTCTTGTAGAAATCCACTACAAGAATTCCTTACCAATTGAGAAACCTACTCAAAATTTTTACCACAATGCACAAAAAGATTAAAGGAACAAATTCACCTAGAAGCTGAACAAATCAGACTGTGAATTCTTGACCAATCTTAATTCCTCTATCCAAGAATGTAGTGATGATGATGATTCCTCTCAAAGCATTTCACAAATTTTTTTACTTCTTGGTATCACAAAAAAAACACTCCAAGAAGATCACAAAGATCAAAAGTTTATCACAAAGATTTCACAAAATCAATTATTCTCTTCTCTTTTTGTTTTTGAATGTGAGAACCATTTTTATAAAGTTTCCAGACCTAGATAATTGATTATTTTTAAGGATAATCGATTATTTTATTCTTCATAAATTCTGGAAATCACTCAAGAACAGAATAATCGATTATTTTGCAGGATAACTGATTATTCCAGAGAGCACTTTCTGGAATAATCGATTATTTCACAGATAATCGATTAATACAACAAGGTTTCTCAACCTCTTGAAAAACATAGTTGAAATAATTGATTATTGTAAGTAATAATTGATTATTTTGAGTTAGTTCTAAAAAATTCAATTTCACTCATTCAGAACCTTTCTAAGTTACTTTTAATCATCATCATACTCACTTTTAAACAATTAAAATTAAGATTTAACTCATGCACAAAGCACAAACATGCATAGAAAATAAAATTGACCAACAAAGCAACTCAACACATAAGAGCACATAAACTACTCTTATTACATTTGGTATTCATTCATGGTCTTCATGTCTTCTCTTTTGTTCTCATCAAAGCTTGTATCCTTTGTTATCATCAAAACTCTTAAAACTTGATTCATCATCCATGAATCTCAACAAGAAGAACTTGTCACAAGGAGGATTTCCTTAATAAAAGTTCATTAAGGAGTAGATTCTCCTAAGAGAGAATTGAGAGCTTGTGATAGAGAAATTTGAACTCAATTTCATTCAATACTCACAAGTGTTGAGTTTGTACATGGAGGGTTCAATTTATAGAGTTTGATACACTAGTGCAAAAATTGGATTTAAAATCGGACTTTTAAGATCGGTTACAAGGTAATCGATCTTAAAAGTGACGCGGTGGCAAATTTGTAAATAACATGAACACTTTTAAGATCGGTTAAAATTTAACCGATCTTAAAAGTACTTTTAAGATCGGTTATAAAAGAACTGATCTTTAACCGATCTTAAAAGTGGCACTTTTTAAGATCGGTTATAAAATAGCCGATCTTAAAAGTACTTTTAAGATCGGTTATTTTATGACCGATTTTAAAAGTGCTACTTTTAAAATTGGTTATTTTAGAACCGATTTTGTATGCAGTATACAAAATCGGTTCTTCAATAACTGATTTTAAAAGTATCGTCAGAAATCTTTTATATTCCCCTCTATTTTCATTCTCTTTAATCTTTTCCTCCATTCCTTTTTTTAATCTGTGACGCTGTCATTTTCTAAAGTCTCCAATAAGGTAAATTTCGTTGTCGTTTTTGTTTTCATTTTCGTATTCTCATGTTCTTGTTGTGTCTCTTTTCGTTTTCTCATGCTTTTCTCGTCTCTATTTTCGTTGTAGGCTGAGTTTTGGTAAATTTCGAACCTGGAACAGGCCGTTCTGCAAGGAGAACAGGCTGTTCTACGAGGAGAACGGGCCGTTCTCCAAGCAGAACGGGCCGTTCTCCAATCATAACGGGCCGTTCTCCAAGTAGAGCAGAACGGGCCGTTCTCCAAGCAAAGCAGAACGAGCCGTTCTCCAAGCAGAACGGGCCGTTCTCCAAGCAGAACGGGCCGTTCTCCTAGTGGCCAGAACGTACCAACTTTTTAAATTTTAAATTTTGAATTTTAAATTCTAAATTACAAATTTTAAATTTTAACTTTTAAAATTTAAAATATAAACTTAAATTTTAAATTTTAAATTTTAAACTTTAAACTTTAAATAGGGATATTTTAAATTTAGAGTTTTAATAAGTTCAATAAATTTAAATTCATTGTAAAAATATAAAAAATCATTAGAAAAAGTAAAATTAAATAACTTAGTTAAAAAAGACTATAGTTAATAATTTTATGTAGAATTTATTTTAAAAGAATATTGTTAAAAAAATCTGAAAAAAAAATAATAAAACAAAATCCGTTAAAATCGCAAATCTAACTACAAATAATAAAAAAATCTAGAAACAAATAATATCAAAAAACAAAAACCTTCGAAATAATATCACAAAACAAAAAATTTTGAAACTGTTAAATTTTAAATTTAAATTTTAAATTTTAAATTTTAAATTTTAGATTTTAAATTTTAGATTGTTGGTTTTAGATTTTAGATTTTAGATTTTAAATTTTAGGATTTAAATTTTAAATTTTAATTAATAAATTTTAAATTTTAAATTTTAAATTTTAAATTTTCAAATTTAGATTTAAAAATTTTAAATTTAAAATATAAATCTTAAATTTTAAAATCTAAATCGATTGGAGGTCAACTTTCCTTCGCGGTTTCCACCGTCAACTCGGAAACGTGCTCGTGAATTTCACACACACAGAAAGTTTGATTAGTGCGTGTTTGCTTTAGTTTTTAAACGTGAAAATTCACGTTTATGAGAAGCAAAAAAATGTAACTTCTATGTAAATTAGTTTGTAAATGTGGAAAGAGAATGAAAAATCACGTTTTTAAATCTAAAGCAAACACGCACTTAATCGATTGGAGGCGTGTTGCACTGGCATTCCTTTCCTGAGAAGATGACCATCGACTTGGATTCGGTCGCTCGCAAAATCGAGGTTGATAACCGCATTCCCCTTCGCTATTACTATCGGATTACCGATAACCTCCTGAAGCAGTTAAATCACTACTTCAATTTCTCCATTTAAATGTTGATTGCTTCATCCTCAACTACGTTAGGGCTTTGCCTTATTATCATGATTCGAACCTTCTCGAAGCCAAATATAGGATCCTTTTCGTTTATTAATTTCTGCTTCGGTGCTTACAATTAACGAATTCGTATCCGAAGAAGAACCTTTAATCCTTGTTTTCCCTGTAGTTTTTGATTATGATTGTGTGACTAATTCATGCTATTTAGGATCAGTTAAAATTTAAGATTTAAAATTTAAAATTTAAAATTTAAAATTTAAAATATAAATCTTAAATTTTAGATTTTAAATTTTAGATTTTAAATTTTAAACTTTAAATAGGGATATTTTAAATTTAGATGTTTAATAAGTTGAATAAATTTAAATTCATTTTTAAAATATAAAAAATAATTATA